AGTTTAGTAAGTTGACTTCTACTCTTTTTCATTCATCATGAATAAAACTCTTCAACAGCAAAACATTTATCCTGCTGGGCTTTTTTCTCCCCACAAATTATTCTTTTCAATCTGTCTGAGTGAAAAATAATATGGGACTTACAATTTCATCTAAATTTGTGCATTTACTATTACTCCTATACTGTATCTAAATGCTCCACATATCCTGGAATCTACATTTTTCTGAGGGAAATAAGGGGGCAGGGATAATTAAAAGTCTGAATACTTAACCCATAATTCTCACAACAGCAAAATGTAATCAAATGGAAATATGGACATTTCTTAGACAGCATTTTTCTTTAAATGATTTAGAATGTGGTTTCAGTTTTATATACAACTAGAATACTCAAAGCAAATAATTTTCTTAGAGATATGGTCTTCCTTTGCCAGTTTTTTAAATAGGTAAGTCAAGACCCCGATGTCATGGTGTTTATATAAACAGCTGATAACTACAAAGTCACGGGTTCAACCCACCATTTGCTCCAGGAGAGAAAGAGGAGGCAGCCTGCTACCATAGATTTTAAAGTATCAGAAACACAAAGGGACCATTCTCCTCTGTCCTAAAAGGTTGCTATGAGTCAGAATCAACTCAATGGAAGTGGGTGGTGGATAGAAAATCCTGTTTGGCCTGGCACCACAACACAGCGTCGGTGTAAAAACCACAGCATTCATCAAGAGAGTGAGAGCTACCAGCACACTTTGTGCTCATCATGGAAAGTTGAGATATTGTTACTTTCTAATTGAATGGAATATCACTTTGATTAAATTGTGGTCTTAATTATATTGAATAGCTTTCCATTCTTTTCCTTCTCTATCTAAATTGGATTTTTTTAAAGTCTTAAATGAAATGTCAAAGAAACATGAAATTCACCTTTCAAAATTAAAACATGAATGGCTACCCAGAGAGCCTACTTTCATGGATAGTGACCATTCTGTCTGAATTAAAATAAAAAAAATAAACAGAGAGGGGAAACTTCTTCAGCAAACCTTCTTCCAGCATCAAATATGTGGCGTCACTGGACTAGCAGGGTAGAGGATTTGATGATAAAGGGCGCTCACAGGGTAGTTTCACACAATAGTTCCCTGACTGATACAATGCACTATGTGCTGAAAGCTGTTCATGAGAGAGAGAGCTTCTAGACTGGGAGAGTTTCCTAAAGATGAAACATGAGAACCGAGTGCAGAAGGATGGATTAGTGGGGATGCGAGAAGAACCTTTTGGTACTGGTAAAATGAACCAAAAATGCCCACTGCCCTCAAGTCACCCCTAAGCAGAGTGACCATGTAGAGTAGAGTGGAGCTGCTCCTTTGGTATCTGTGGCTGTACATCTTTTCCAGAACAGGAAGCCTCCCCTTCCTCCCAGCTGGTCAATTCAAGCTGCTGACCTCGTGGTTAAGAGCCCGGTGCATTACCAAGTACACCATAGGACTCCACTTTGTCACCAGGACAGGTAGTCTGGAGAAGAACTTTGAATTTAATTAAAACATGCACACATATAAATAAACACGTAACCTTTTACTTAAAATTACCATATATATTCATGTATCGGATGAGTTTTTGAGCACATTTAAAAATGCAGTTTTTGTGGTAAAATTAGGTGCCTCAGCTGATATTCGGGTCAGCTTATACTTGAGTATTGATGGTATTTGACATTGGTAAATGGCTTTGGTAAATTTA